CTCCAAGTCTCCAGGGAGACACATTTTTTCTGTCTTCTTCTGAGTCCTCCAAACTGTTCCTACCTCTGCATGTTACCAAGCTCCAAAGCTGCTTCCACATTTTCATGTATCCTTATAGCAGCACTCCACTCCTGGTACCAATTTAGTGTATTAGTTCATTTTCATTCTGCTATAACATAGAACTGCCCAAGACTGGGTAAGTTATAAAGGGAAGACGTTTAATTGACTTACAGTTCAGCTTGACTGGGTAGATCTCAGCAAACTTGCAATCATGGCAGAAGGTGAAGGGGAAGGAAGGTACCTTCTTCACAAAGTAGCAGGAAGGAGTACCAAGCAAAGGGGGAGGAGCTTCTTATCAGATCTTGTGAGAACTCACTCACTATCATGAGAACAGCACGGGGGAAACTGTACCCATGATTTAATCCTCCACCTGGTCTCTCCCTTGATATGTGGTGATTATGGGAATTATGCAAATTAAAATTCAAGTTGAGATTTGAGGGGGACAAAAAGCCTAACTATATTAAATGCCAAAAATAGTTAAGGCCATTTGAAGAAGTGGTCCTTACACTGTTGGGCTAACACTACCTTATACCAAAACCTAACATAAAATCATAATTAATGACAGTCATGGATCAGTGCAAGGATAGAAAATTATGTCCAATGGAACAGAACAGAAATACCAGAAATAGAACCAAATATATACATTTACAGCATATGACAATGGAAGCACTGTGGTACAGGAGATAAATATTGCTTTATTCAAGGATTGAAAACCAAAATGAGTCACTGAGGCATAAGTCTCAGTCATTGAGGCTTATTAAGCCAGCTTTAGGGCACTTCTGGGAAAAAGAAAAGCCACAGACACATTTGTGTTATTTCCACAAAGTTTTTCAGAAGGTTTAATATTCATACATTTCTTTAAAAGGGGGTAGGGAGAGGCATGTAGGTTAAGCAATAGTCCTAACAATAGGATTATTGCTTAACCTACATGCCTCCCCCTACCCCCTTTTGCATTCCTGAGACTTTAGTTAGTATCCAGTAAATGTACATTATACATAAAATAAGGTGAATGTCTGAAGTGAGAAAGGGAGTAAAGGAAGGCTTAATTATGTAGTCTGTCTCTGATTAGGTGAGGGAAATGAATCTTTACGTTTTTCTGCACCTGGTAAGACAAACTTATAAGCAACATAATAGGTGTGGAGTTTTAGGAGGTAGACTTAGATTGTGGACCTAAAGTTACAATTAGCATGTCCTTGTTTTTGGGAGACAAGCAAAGAATTTACTCATGAATGATCTGTAGGTAGCCCTTTTCAGATGTCTGAGGCCATTTACCTTTCCAATCTGGCTGACATATAATGTTAGTAACAGTTATTCATGTGAAAGAGAGTGTTGCAATGATTCACCTTTAGGGCTTAGTATTCACTTCTGCACAAGTTTGAGGGGTCTTGTAATTTTTATTTTCTTTTACACAGTTCTGAGTGAAATATGTATTCATATCAAAAAATACATGAATATTGACCTTACCTTAACCTTGACCTTACCTCATCATCTATAAAAATAAATTCTACATGTTGTATTTAGAAATATCAAAAGGAAAGACTTACAACTTTCAAAAATTACACAGAATATCATTGATACCAGAATATATGTTAGTTATTTATTTATTGTCCCAGTTTCAAATATAGACTTAATTGTTTATTCTGCAACAATGCAACTGAGCTCAAGGGATATCTTTTCCTTCACAGATTCAAGATTTTAAACTTGACCAGCAGAGGATGCTGTAGGGACAATTTTAGGAGAAATTCTTGTGTATCTCTCTGATTTTTCTCTTTTACAGTGCAAAACCAGAGGTATGTTTGAGAAATATTTAGTAATACTCACCCTATCAAATTTCAACAATACCTACATTGCTAGAGTCTTACTGAATCTTGCAGTTACTCTAGGAGCTGGCTTCCCAGATGTAATCTATTTGGACCCTGAAGGGGTGTTTCCAGCTTGTCAGTCCAAGCTGTGATTTGCTGCCCACCTGTACTTCAAAGAGTTGTCAATTGCTTGCCAATGCCAGCTATAGGTCCCTACCAAGGAGCCTCACTCCACCTGGTGCTTCCTTCTACTCAGCCTTGAAAAGGAATCAGTCTGTCAGCCTTGGTTCACCTATATCCCACAGAGGTGCCTTTCTTGACACATGCAATGTAATGACCCTTTCTGGAATCCAGTATGCTAAAATTATGCATTCTCAAATGAAGTTTCAACCTCAGGCTTGGGGAGGTCCTTCCCCATTTTCCAAGTTTCTTTTTTCTTTCAATATTCTCCCTTAGCTCTAGGGTATTGCTTAGAGTTGTCTTTATCTCCTTTAAAGTTGATTTTCTTACAAAAATAATATGTATTTGTATTTACAAACTCTATTCAAATTACTGTGTGATTTTTGTCTTCTGACTGGATCCTGAATGACAGAATAGGCAAATATCTCCTTTAAAATACATAAATACATAAAAACACTAAGCATAAAAGCAAATTTATAAATTAGACTTAATTAAAATTAAAAACATTTCTAGTCATCAGACATGTCATTAACAAAGTACATAGATTGTAGAAGATGGTTGTATACATACATCTTACAATGTCAGCTAGAGTTACAGGGTTACTTTTATTTCTCCAGGCTCATACATACACTGTGTTTGGTCTTCTGCTTAAAACTTAAGAGATTGAAAAACCATGGCTATTTCATCTTGAATTCTTATCCTGTTTCATCTGCCTGCAAAAAAGAAAAACTGCTTGAGAATTTTACTTTATCTTTCTTATGTTACAGGTAGTTAGACAGGCATGAGTCTGGCAGGAGAGGGCTCTACCCCACCCACTAGAAATGTCAGGTGATGGTTGGACAATTATCACATTGCCTCTCTAAAAGTGATAAATTGGCAGCCTGTGCCAGGGAGAGGCCATTTCCTGATGGTCCACAGCTGTTCCACTAAAGTGTTAATAGCAACTTCCCAGACATGTGCATTAAAAGACAAAATGAAGGAGTATCACCTCTTGAGGGCACACCACCCAGAAAGGGAAGAAAGCCTCAGATGGGCATGCATACAACTTCCTAAACACACTGTGCATGCTCACTTATTAAGGGAAAGGGCGGCACTATGCATGTGGGCAGCCCACCCTAAGGGAACCATCACAGAAAAGGGGCCAGCCTATAAAGCCCTAGGATCGAGGTTAAACACCACATTGGTCCTTCAGTTCACCCACCTGGGTCTCTTCCAAGCATACTTTCCTTTTTTTCCTGTTCTAAAGCATTTTAAAATAAACTTCCACCCCTGACCGAAACTTGCCTTGACTTATGCCCCTCAGTCAAATTCTTTCTTCTGAGGCAAGAATTGAGGTTGCTGCAGACCCATATGGATTTGCCACTGGTAACCTGAATACCTTACACCAGTAATATATTTGATATCATGAGACCTGAATATTAGCCACCCCTAACACCTATATGTCACAGGATGTCTGGGAACTTCTCATTTCAGGGTTCTCTGGGAAGCAGACTTTAAGGTAAAATGTAGTGTGCACTTTGTTTAATAAGAGAATCCCTAGGATAATCATCTTAAAAATAAAAAGGAATGAAAGTGTGTAGGATTGGGCAGAAGGGAAAGTTGAGCTGTGAATCAGGCCTAAAGACAGCCTTGCCCAACATCATGGGGAGTTCTGGGTATAAAATTGCCCAAGGAATTGGGTTGAAGGGGCCAGACCTTTCTAACTTTCTACCTCAGTCATTGAATGGGTTAATGGATGACCCCAGGCAAGGCACACTTCTCCAGCTGAGGCAATTCCTTAAAAGGTTAAAAAAAAAATTGAAGGCTTTCTATTGGACTCATTGCCAACATTTGGGGCTACAAGCCTTTCATTGAAATGGGGCTGAAAGTACATACATATTTTTGCCCAACATACCCCTTGTCAGAGCCCTTTTTTTGTGGGAGGGAATGCAAAATGCTTTGGGTAAATTTTAAGTTAAATTGAAGAATGTTACTATGACATAGTCTTTCTAAACTCTTTGCTTTTCTCATGTTACCTCCTCTTTCTAGAATACCTTGCCCAGTGATGTGCTGGGAAGTATTTAACCATCTTCTCTTTAAGAAAAAATTTAAAACCCTGATGTAGAGTTTGCCAGTTTCTGTGGTTTAAATACTTCTGTCATAACCAATTTCAAACTACCTATATGATATTACAGAACATGAAAGCAGAAGAAGATATGCACAATTGTCTCTTATGTGCCAGCTTCAGCACACGACTTTATTTCCAACTGTGTTCAACTGGTCAAGAGTGAATTTGACCCACAATGCACAGTGAAGGTGTCAATTACTCTAATTCTCAATTCCTAAATCCTCAAGTAAAACTGACTGCTTATCAATATCAATATTGTAAAATGTACCTGTTCCAATAATATCATTGGTTACACTTAATTTTACCAATATTTATTTATATGTCTTCACTATTACACATTCATTATATAACATTAACATTATGCATTTTGCAGTTTATGTATCCCGAGCACTAACAGCAATCATTACAATAGTTATTTCGACTATTTAATGAGCACTCATGATTGTTGGGGAAGACCAGCCATATAGTGCTGTGATAAGGTAATAGACATGGCCCCATATTCAAAAAGTTGGCAATACAGCTGAAAAGAAAGTGAGTTTATATGAAATAATAAAATATCATCCAAAAAATATATCTGTAGGTCATTCTAGTGAAAAAGAAAAAAGTAATGGTTATAAAAATAAATTGGTATAAAAACAATACTACAGATCCACATAGGCATGTAGAACAAGAGGTAAAAGTATTATTAAAAGATGAGGATTGAGATTGTGCACAACTCTCAACCCACTCGTGAATTAAGACATAAATTACTGTCCTGTAGCATTGAACAGAGTTAACACAATTGCCCAGATGTTTAGACATGTACTGTCAGGACTTCACCAATTCCTGTAACTGAGTATCCCACTTTTTAAAAAAATCTATTTTTTTTTTTATCATTTTTTCCCCTTTTCCCTTACCTATTAGCTCTTTAGGCTTTAGGAATGCAATTACAACCTTTACATTCCTTTCTTTCCACTGGCCAAACCACCTGCAACAACCAGCTTATCTAACTCTATGTTTGCCTAGAAGTTCCATAGAACAAGTCTTCAAAGAAACCAAGCACCCTACCAAATTCTCCCCTACAGGCCGACCACTGGATGACCCACCAGATGACTCAAGATAGACAGCCATGAGCAAGTCATATAGACTCCACAAGTCCATGTGCCTTTTGCATGGCCTGCATACCAAAATTTCTTTTCTTAAAACCTTGTTTTCTTCCCAGAAAGCTGAAGTGGCTCTTTTCAGTACAAATCTGGCCCTTACTCATCACTAAGCTCTGGAATAGTCACTTTCTTTTTACCATCCTTGTTCTTGTTATTTGATTTTGCAAGTGACAAGTGACTAAACCTGTATTTCTTAATGCTCTCCCATATCTAACTCAGTATTTGCTGGCAAATAGAAGAAGATGATAGATCTGGAATAGCAATGAGAGAAAGGGCACATCACTAAGTTATGAGATTAGAATTTCTACATAGCAAACAGCCACAGCAGTAGTTCAAAGTCCTGTCAGGAACTCAAGCTCCAAACCTGCCCTAAGAACTCAGAAATTTTTCATCAACGGTTATGACATTATAGCATGAAAAACAAATTATGGGCAGCAGTATTAGTAAAAGAGACAGAGATGGATTTCTGAGTTTTAGATAATTAACATGAGAAACAATATAAACATAGTTGCATTTAATAAGGAAAGATACTGCTATTATTATCATTAACAACAATGACAACTTAATAACATTAATACATTTGTATAGTCTTCAAAAACACATACGCTGTCTATTTTAAGTCTTGTAATGATCTGGAGAATACATAAGACCATAGTTGTCACAATTTGTCCAAAAAAAATCCTGAGTTTCATATAGGTTAAAGATTAACCAAAATTACATGTATAAAAAGTGAAAGAATTAGGATTTTAACCAGATGAGCAACACCCAGATATTTTACTTTTCATATACTAAAATAGCTTCCATGACATTTTCAGTGGAAAAGTTGGAGGCTAGAGGTGACTTAATACCTCCTCTTTAGACCAAACTTCCAGAGAATTCCTAGACGAACCTGCTTTGTTCTGACACTATAGACAATAGGGTTAAGGACTGGGGGAAGAAGAAGGTAGATATCTGCCATGAGGACGTGGACTATGGGAGATAGATGCTTCCCAAATCGATGGACCATTGACACCCCAATAACTGGCACAAAGAAGATGAGCACCACACAGATATGGGATACACATGTGTTGAATGCCTTTAGCTGTTCTTCACGAGATGCAATACCCAGCACAGTATTAACAATCAGAACATAAGAAAGAACTATGAAGATTGAATCCACACCTAGTGTGGCAATGACTACACAAAGCCCATAAATGCTGTTGATCTTGGCATCTGTACAAGATAATCTTAGAACATCCTGGTGCAAACAGAAGGCATGAGAGAGGGCATTGCCATGGCAGTAGTGATAGTGTCTCAGTAGTAAAGGTGTTGGAAGTACAACTCCCAAGCTTCGTAGTAAGGAGGCCAAACCAATTTTTCCAATTACACTGTTGGTGAGGATGGTGGGGTAGTGCAGTGGATGGCAGATAGCAACAAAACGGTCAAAGGCCATGGCCAGCAACACTGAGGACTCCAGAAATGTGAATGTGTGGATGAAGAACAGCTGAGCATAGCAAGTACTTGCCTGGATCTCTGGAGCATCCAACCATAACACAGCAAGCATGGTGGGAAGTGTGGACAGGGACATCCCCAGGTCATTCACTGCCAAGATTGAAATAAAGTAATACATGGGCTGATGGAGTGAGGATTCCATCCAAATGACAGAGAGAATGGTAACATTACCCATAAACGCTACCAAATATGCAAGACAAAAGAGGATTGAGAGCCAAGAATGAACATTCTCCAGTCCAGGAAAACCCCTCAGGATGAATGTGGGCTCCATAGTATCACTGTTATTCCAGTCTACCATAGTGAACCTTGAGTAGCTCAGCAAATAGTAAGGAATGGTTCGTGGTTTTCTTCCTCATCCCTCAAAGTTACCTCTTTTGAGCACAAACAATGGAATCAAGACAAAAATATGTCTTTTCTTTAACCTCACAGAGTAAGGAAGGTGGTTACCTGTTGTCAGCTCTATGTAAGGAACATTTCCCAATATTAAGGAGCACCAAATTCTGGAACAAAAATGTGGACTACACAAATACGGTCATCTCTGACAGGAAGTGTGTGGGATTTGCGTTGAAGACACTGAGGAATTTAAGCAACATGAGAATAGAGAAAAATTTTTACTAATTATTATAAAGATGGAAATAGAGGCAAGTCAGAGTAAATTTCTATGGATTTGATGCATTTCTGGCCAATAATATTCTTGAGTTAATCAGTTATTGCTTCTAGGCTATACTTTCATTCATGACAATCAAATTGATCCCACGGACTCAACATAATTTCTATTCAGATGTCTTTTATTTAATGATTTGTAATATTTAAACATTTTAAATATTTAATATTTTAGTGATAGAAGATAAATATCTCACATATGAAAAGTGAGCATGAACAAGAGAAACAGAATCCGTAATCCCAGCAAGCTTTATCGAGCTGCTATTTAACTGACATAGTTTTGAGATTTCTAGTATAGCAACTATTCCTGACCTAAAATAAATATTCATGGTAAAAAATAACTATATATACAGTGCTGTGAGTGTCTGTCTTTGTGTGTGTGTGTGTGTGTGTGTGTGTGTGTGTGTGTGTGTATGTGTGTAAAGTAAGAGCTTAAATAGTTTGAAAATAAATTTTAGGCCATAACATCGCAATGTAACTATGAAAGTCCATTAAAGGCAGTTTCCTTTCTGCTCTCCCACAAAATAAGAACAATGCATTTAACAGTTATCTATTACACATCTTAAAGAGGTACTATTCCACTTTATTTCTTCTTCATCGTGTTTTTGATTGAATGATTTATCTCTTCAAATGATACTTATAATACCATTTTTAAAAGAATCGTCAATTCAAATATTAAGTGGTTCTTAATTTTCTGACCCACTTGCCCCTACTTCTGTGAACTCATGGCAATTCAGAATTTAGATCTTAAATATTCACTATCAGTGCCTCTTAGAAACAACCAAGATCTCTCTGAGTGTTTCAAAATATGATGCTAATGTCTGGGTATATTTTTCCTCTGCATTTTTTATTGTAATAACCTCCTCTCCTGTGCTGGGTACCAGTGTTGCCCTTGCTATCTCCTGTGTTGATGGCACTAGGTATAGTAGCTGAGCATTATGAGATCATCTGCCCCTTCTGTTATCTAGTTCTTTATTTTAATCCTGTCTAGTTCCATTAACTGTCCCTGAGAAAATTACCTTGTCCCTTAGAGTCCAGGCCTCATAGACTTCAGCACAACCTCTCTACAGCAACATCTCAGCATTTCCCTCATCCCTCCTTCTGGACCCTTAGTCCCTGATCTCTGGAAAGATTAACATAAGACTTAGCCTCATCCTAAAGTAAAACTCTATCCAAATGTGACCTCAAATTCATATCACAAGGCTCCAGATAGCTAACTGTTTCTTTTTCTTATCTCCATTATATTTAATAAAAAGCTTTATTTTGAAAATTCCTTGATGGATTCTTAATCTCAGTTTCATACCGTGAAGGCTGAAAGTTCTTAGATTGCACAACCTAGAATTCCAAAGAGGAATTGACTTAGAATCTACACCTGAGGAACAAAATAAAAACAAAGCCATCTTCTGCATGTAATAAGAAGAATTTTTCTCTTTCTCTATTTTTGCCCAAGTCCAGGCATCTCCCATCTTCTATGAATCAGACCCTACCCTGGTACTCGTCTCCAGTCTAGGCAATGTGAAGGGTTTCATTTGAGACCCTTGTCTTAAACAAAGCAGTCGGCTACCCATCAAATTATTTACAACCAGCAGAGTTTGTGTTTAGAGTGTTTATTTTTCTGTACCCCTAAGCAGCGTTTTTCTCTCTAGTCTTCACTATCACCAGCTGATTTTATTTTTTCTTCCTCCTCACTCGGAAAATTTTCTTTGACCTCCTGTTGTACAGCTGAGCTCATAAAAATGATATAAGTATTCACATTGAAATATATAGAACACACACACACACACACACACACACACACACACACACACACACAGAGCACACAGAGGAGAAAGAGAGAAAGAGAGAGAGACAATACTGTGGCCACAGTGGAGAAGTTTTTTTATTTTACCCCATACCAGGAAAATATTCCATGTTTTCTCCTTTAATTCTTTCAACCCCAAAGTAAATCACATTTTCTTAAATTCTCACAAAGGATGCAAAGAACAAAGTGGATCACCACTCTTTGGAATTGTCTTTGTCCCTGCCCTATGTGCAGCTACCCTATGTGCAGATTTCCATGTTTAGAAAACTTCAGTTGTAGGCTGGCCAATAGATTTGAAGTTAGGACAGGAAGTAATATTTCTGTTTGTAATTCCTATTAATTTTTAATTGTGTATATTTAAGGTGTGCAGAATGTTTTGATATATACACATATATATGCATATGCATAGTGAAATAATTATTACCATGTGTCTGTGTGTGTGCATGCACGTATGTGCATTTGTGTGGGAAGAGCTCCTAAGTTCTACTCTCTTGGAAAATTTTCAGTATATAGTTTCTGTGGTTTTAATTCTTGCTCATGTTGGTTTATCCCTCACCTGAAAAGAGTTCCCATTTCTACAATATTATTAACTGTGGTCATGCTGTATATTAGATCTTTAGACTTATTTTTCCTACATAATTGCAAGTTTGCACGCTTTGAGCTACTTCTCTGCATTTCCTCCACTGCCTGGGCCCCCAAAACCCCTTTCCACTCTAGTTCTGTGTGTACTTTCTCTTTCTTATCCTCTCACTGCCCCGTCTGTCATGCCTTCTACTTTTTAAAATCCCTTTATTATCTTTTCTCTATTCAGTTTCTTTTGACTCTGTTTCTAGGTCTTGACAATGATTCTTCGTAGTTCCTTGTTGATTTTAGTACATTTCAATCACATTAAGGTTGAAAAGAAATAACAGAAAAGAACTAGGAGTAATAACAAGACTGTTTCAAAGAGCAGAGGCATGAATAGGTTTGTGTCACACATTCACCTATTCCAGGTAATTAAGGGAGAACTTGTGAGGAGAAGATCATTTTTTAATAGCCTCTCTAGCATCTTAGCTGTAGTTCTCAAAATCTATTCTATACTAATCAGCTTATGGCTTATCTTAAAATTGCTGAAGATAATTGGAATAAGATACTATAATATTGTAATAAATTTGAAACTTTTTCACAGATGACAATTCTTTTTCCCTTTGCATAAATGGTACATCATCCTTCTCATAATTTTACTCTCCCTTTTTTTTTTTGAGACAGAGCCTCACACTGGGGTGCAGTGGCACAATCTCAGATCACTACAACCTCCACCTCCCTGGCTCAAGCAATTCCCCTACCTTAGCCTCCTGAGTAGCTGGGTTTTAATTTTCTTGCTCATATTGGTTTATCCCTCACCTAAAAAGAGCTCCCATTTCTACACCCAGCTACCTTTTTTGTATTTTTAGGAGAGATGGGGTTTCACCATGTTGGCCGGAATGCTCTTAAACTCCTGACCTCAGGCAATCCACCCCACTTGACCTCCCAAAGTGCTAGGATTACAGGCATGAGACACCATGCCCAGTCTAATTTTACTCTCGTTAGCAAACTATATCCATATACAAATATGCCAAAATCTACCGACTATTTATTTATAATTTAAAAATTAACACTTACCTGAAATTTAAACACAAGACAATTGCATCAATATCCCTAGTTAATTTGCAATCAGTAGCCCATTTCCCAAATGATCCACAGTTCCATTTTGTCTTCCTCTGACTAAACTTTTCTTCACTATAGGTAAAGTCATATTTTCTTTCTGTTCCTATTTCTGTGGCTTTCTCTCATTTTGTCTCATTTTATATGACAAAATATCTTTCCTATCTTTTCTAGTCTCCTTCCTGCTGCCATTTTTTCTATTTTGTTTTTATCTAAATTTGTGTCTTTTTAGCACGTAATCCTCTATCTTTTCCAGTCCCTTTGATTGGCTGTTTCTTTCTTCTAATTTTTCTTTGCATTTCTATGGTTTTAAGTCCTTGCTCTCATTGGCTTATTTCTCACCTAAGAAAAGTTCCCATCTCTGTCTGAAAGTCAAACCTGTACTGATTAAAGATGCTACAATTTTGATTCTATATGAACCTCAGGTTTTGAAAACCTTTGACTCTGTGAGTAGTGAGGTTTGAATGCTTCCACCATGTCTATAAATACCACTGGTTTCTCCTGGGGTAGAAAATTAGGGATTGGTGTCAGAGTCTGCTGGATCCCCAGAGATGAAATGACCATAAAAAGCCCTTAACCACAGATATGGCAAAAACATATGATCATAATACCAAAAGTAGTAGGAAAGCATCCTTCTGTTAATCCACCATTCTTAGTTCTTTTTTCAAATGTAATGGTTTTCTCTTCTCAAATGAGTGTAAGAAAGTAAATTCATGATAATTACTTTGGCCCAGAAGAATACTGAAATTTCAGCTTTAATTAGGGGCATTGTACAGAACAATGGTGATGAAGTACAATGATAAGTCTTTCCATTATAAGGTGTTTTTTACATTTCACTGAACAGAATTGTTTATTAGTTGTGTGCTTATTAAGCATTTATTAAGCAACAGGGTTCAAGGAGCCATACTAAGCACTTTCAAGGCAAAAGCCACTATCTAGTTCATTGCTACTTCCCCAGTGCTTGGTATGAGGCACGACTCCCCAACACATTTTTTTCCTTATATATTGGCTATCCTACCTCTTTGCATTTATTTATAATTTTGGAAACAGATTATCCATTTCTACCAAGATATATATTGGGACTATTATAGAAAACATATTGAATCTATAGATCAATTTGTGGAGAATTTAAATGTTTAGAATATAAGATGTCTAATCCAAGAACAGGACTTCAATTACTTAAAGTCTTTATTTTTTTCAATATTATTGTATACTTGTCTGTTTGGAGATTACACATTTTATACTAGGTTTATTCTCATTTACTTGACATTCAATTGTGCTAATGTCAATAGCATGATTAACTATTTTTTTCTAAATCTTTGGGACTGATAAAATAAAGTCAATTGTCTTTTTTCAGAAAAACTGCTAAACGCATTTTTTATTTTTAATAAGTGATCTGTAGTCTCATTAGGCCTTATTTTGTACCAAATCACACCTTCACAAGTAATGTCAGTTTCTTTTCCTCTTATTTAAAATCTTCATTATCTTTTTCTATATGTGTTGCTTTTTTGCATTGGATAAGGTCTACAGTGCAGTTGAGTAAGAAGGGATAAAAATTGTTTTATCTTCTTTTTGCAGATATCACAGGTGTGGTTATCAAACATTTTACCATTAAGCATGTTTGCTAAGATTTTTTGTATCTGCTTTTATGAGAGAATGTGGTCATCTTCTATTGCTCAAGTGACAAGATATTTTGCCAAAAATAGATGCTGAATCTTACAAAATTATTTTAGGTTTATTGAAATTCATGTTTTGATCATCCATATTATTTTTATTTAATATCCTATTAATGTGATTAATTATATTGATTAATTTTCAAATATTAAAATTGTCTTTCTGGAATAAACTCAAGTTGAGAATGCCATTGTCTTTTCCTTATTGATTACCAGAATTGATTTGCAAATATTTTGTTTAGGATTTTGACATCAATTTTCATCAGTAAGTGCACCCTGAAATTTTCTTTACAATAATGTCTTTGTCATGCTTTGCTATGAGATTAGCAAAGCTCTAAAATACCTTGAGAAATATTCTTTCTGTTCTCCCCAGGGAGATTTTGCATTTCCTGGTATTTTATATATTTATAAATTAAATGGCCATCCCAGGGTAGTTTTAATTATAGGTTTGCTAGTTAATCCTTACAGACAATTCAGTTTTTCTCTGTCAGCTTTAAAACTAGTTGTGGAGAGATGTAATTAAGGACGACATTATCCAACATTTATAGGACTGTTTAGATTTTCTACTTATTCCTTTACCTATTTTTGTAAATTTTATTTATCTAGAAATATGTAGTTTGGATATACATTTTGATATTTATTGGCTAAAAGTTTTTCACTAAGTACCTTCATAATTTTTCAATGTCTGCAGTAATCGCATGGTATCTGCTTTCCTCATAACTCATGTTGGTTTGATATGCAGTTTCTTTTTTATACTACTAGTCTCTAGTAGATTCGTAGTTTCATTGATCTTTCAAACAGTCAACTTTTCAGATGTTAGGTTCTCAAAAGCAAATACAAAGAGAGAGTTTGAGATGCAAAGGACTTGTTAGGAATTGAAACCCGTAAAGAGGAAGGAGCAGGGTTGGGCAAAGGATAAAGCTAAACTGCAAAACAGGCCTGACAAAGTCTTGGCCAACACCGTGTGGCTCTCTGGCCCACAAAGGGATTTACACTCTGGCTTACTTCATTCACTTAATGTGGGATGCCCTGGGAAGGATGTGGCCTCAGGGACATGGTTGTCTCAAGGTGAGACAAACCATGGAGGAGGAGAAAGTATATCTGTGCTCTTGTGATACCCTATAACCCAAAGGGTTCTGACCAATTTTGCTCACTTCTCTCTAATATACTTTCCTCCAGTTGCTCTTTGGAACTCAAAATTTTATTTTACACAGAGAAATATGCATTCTTTAGAAATTAGTCCCAAATACTCTTTGTATTTTCATTTTCAAAAGGTATCTACACTGAACTGATCATATTAGCTCTTCATTGATAATGAAAACACTGATATTAAACTATTTTCTTTATAAGATATTCCTTTCACTTGGCTTTGTCTTTTTTTTTTTGTTTCTTTTCCTTTTTTAGATTCTCCTTAGTACAATCTTTCCTGATCTATTTTGAATACTATATTTAAGGTACTAGTTTTACATCCTCAGGTAGAGCGTCTTCACGTCAGCTTACCACCCAAAATTTAATTTCCTCATTTCAGGCTTTTTATTACTAAGGGGACACTGTTTGAATTGGAATAATACATTGTGTCAGAAGATCCTCCCAATTGTCGTGATTCCAAATAGGAAGATAAGTGCTTATGTCTGGCTAGGTGAGTGGGATGATCCTTCATTGTAACACCTGTGGTAGCTCTTCACGGCTTCTACTCTGTGTTTGAGTACATGGTACTGACCCACCCACTCTCAACTCTTCATCTAGGATTGCTTTCCCTAAACACAAGCAGCCAAAGTGTGGACTGAACAGTAGAAATTTGTGTCTAATATCTCTACAATAATATCAATGATGCCTAAAATTGAGTTTCCAAAAGCTGACTAAAGTGGTTACATTCATTTTATATAATTTACCCCTATGATAGTAAAGTTATGACAATTATTTAACAAATGTAAAAAGTTAGTCATAAAGAAGTTAAATGACTTAACCAAAGTCTCATACCTAATAACTAGAAAAGCCACTAAACCAAATGGTCTCTTTTAGCTGGCATATTAAATACAGTATAGAAAATAACATTTATTAATGTTATTATACCTATGTAGTATAATGCGAAGGTCTATTCTTAAGCTTATGCTTTCTTTTCTTGCAGTCCCATGGCCATTTCTGCCAGAGTTCTCCACCGTAGTATATACTTCTTTCTTGTTCTAATCACAGTGGTTGAACATAGTAAATGCTGAGACATATCAAATTGTGAGGAAAAAATGTTACTCTTCAAAACAATCTTTATTGTGGCTCAGTAGTGTTTTGGGTGTTGATTGAGCTGCCCTGACTAGGTTGCATTCTTTAGGGCTTCGTCCTAGCTGTCCTCAAGGCTGCTTTGGTGCTTTGAGTTCTATGATTCTCCAGTGAAGTTTCTGAAAGGACCGGCTGAATAAGCCCTCTGTGCCAGCATTAGGGCATGCCAGCTGAGCATTTTTCTCCTATGGAAACAGAAAACAACAAACAAAAAACAGTAAAATTCAGTTGGAATTTCCTGCCCAGATCCCCCTTTTCTTCCTTGAGCAGCACAGACCATACAAATGCTAGATCCTTTGGATATCGTCGGCACTGAGGTGGAAGGTTCTAGGGTCATGATACCAGTAAGTGGGGTACATTATGGAGTTCCGATTCCCAGAGTGCTTCAGGCCCAAAGAATGCCCGATCTCATGAGTTGCAACCGGGAACAGATTAAATCCTGAAAAAATGTAGAAGAAAAAAGATAACATTAATTCTGTATAGGGAATGCAGAAAGTGTGTGAAAAAGAACAAAGAAAAAGGAGAAAACAGAAAAGAAGAAAAGGGCAAATGTTAGACAGAAAAGGAAAAAGTGGGCAAGGAGCGAAAGAGGAGGCTAAATGGAAACCAGAATGGTAAGATATTTGAACAGATAAACTTGAAGTGAAAAAGACAGATGGACAGAATTAAGAGGTTGATAAACGCAAGCAAAAAGATAAGGAGAAAAAAAACACAATTTGAGAATGTGTTTATTATGGGAGCATTTGTGTTCAGAAATGATCCCATCACTCTCCACTTACAGAAGACCTCTTCCTCAGCCAAATCTTCTACCTCACCCTGACCACTCTGGATCCCTAAATGGAGACCATCAACACTGAACCCCAGGTTCCCAGAGAGTTCCAGCACTCCCACAAAACAAGGAATTTACCTGTGTTTGAAGCTGACCAGTGTTCATCCTTGTCAAAATGGACAACTCCAGGATTTCCAGAATCTGGTAAAAAGGCATGGCCCAAGAAACCACCTGGCCCATCAAAGGGCCAACAACCTTCATGGTCTGTGGATGACAGAAGCTATGATAAAAGTGGGGGTGGAGGGAGAAACAAGGGCCAGAATAGTCTTAAGTAAACCTCAGAGACAGGATACTGTGCAACAGTCTACCACTGGGGTGTGAGAAGGCCAAGGCATTATGTATACAGAGAAATAAGGTGGGTCAAACATTTTACTACTCTCTTATCTAGGGTAAAAAGAAAGACAGACAGATAGCAGACACTGAGTCAAGCCTACAAGTTAGACAGAAATAATAATAACCTCTTCCCAAAATAATAAGGAAAATAAGAAAGAGAATTTAAACTTTACAAGTTTTTATAAGTAGACTGGATCAACTTTGAATAGCATTTCATTAGATTTAGGAGCTATGCATCATCTTTTTGAAAGGAAAGTGTGCAATTCCCCCATAATATTCACACTGCGGCCAACACTTCCTCTTTATTTATTGCTTCACGTACTAAAAGTGTCTCCTGTGTTGCAGGATTTGCTTTGCATTAGGATTTTGTCTGATTTTTTCTTTCCCAGAAACTTGAATATGTGAGCTGGGTCTTTATTTAAGTATGAAAACCCTTTGTCCTTTACACAGGGCATATACATATCCTTCTTCCCACGTCAATTTCTTACCCCACTGCCAGAAAGAAATCTTGATGTCTGCGTCTTTATTCTGCACTTGCTGGAATATCAGAGTAGTCACACTGCTCCAGATAGAAACTGCATTATATATATTGTCTTTCACTGTGGATGGCTTCATATCATGTGGGTGATTGATAATCCTGAAGAAAGTAATCTCTAAATGGAATAGTTCAGAGGTATGGGAATTATCCTAGCTATAAATATGAATAATTCTACTTTGGGGAGAATCATTTAATAGTTTTAGGACTCATTTTGCTTATTTATAAAGTTGAGCTAATCCCAGACTAACTAAATCAGAAACTTAAGGAATTAAACATGCAAATATAGGTTTCTAAGAATTTTAACAATAGCCCACATTATTCTTAGGCTAAAGTCTAAGAACGACAGCCCTATCTGGTGGTTCTGGAAAAAATAATTAAATAAAACAATGTGAACTAAATTAAATTAAAGTAAATGTATAGTATTCTACATAAATTAAGATGTATGGCATTCCACATGATTTAGTGCTGTTTTGCTTTAGATATCTAAAATATATTTAGCATCCCCAATAGAAAGAGTAACCTAGGCAGAAGTTTTCAAAATTGTATCTTAGAATCATCCATATATCCACACATTAAATTTCAAAAGAAAGTAAGAGGATAGTGAAAACAAAGTGCCAACAAAACAAAGGGCAAGGATAGTGGTTATGCTCTACTTTATTTTTCATCTTTCAGTTTTTAACTTTTTGTTTTTTCGAATTAGTTTTTTATTATGCTATGTCTTGAAAAGTTTTGTTTTTATTATTTTGTTGCTAGTTTTGTGTTTTGGTCTTTCTACTTGAGATGAGCATGGTTTACAAACTACAAATATAGTCTGGTAATATCCTGTTTGTTGTGTATTTAGTATTACCAGTTGAGTATACCTACGTAACAAACCTGCAGGATCTTCACATGTACCCCAGAACTTAAATTATAATACAAAAGAAGAAAAGGAAAATAATCAGTAATAAGAAATTATCTGATAGTTATGCTCTACTTTCTAAAGAGATGATTGGAGGAAGCTAGAAGAGGATGTGGGAGTGTTGCCTTCTCTGAGGGCAATTTTAGGCTTTGAGCAGGCTGCCAATGAAAGCGGAAGACAATAGAGGTGCCCCAGGAGAGACCTTGTGGAAAGCCCTTTGAAGTCATCACCCCACTCATTATCCTCTAGGCCTTAATAACAAGCACCTGTAAGTCAGAGAGTACTTATCCCACTTGCATCTTCCTGGCGAGATGGTGGTATTGGATCCATCAGGCACCCCACAGCGGGGCTGGTGCAGCATAGCATGCATCTGCATATCAAGTAGGCCTGTCCCATTCTGATGGAATTGTTGCAGGAGCTGTGTTTCTGTCTCAAGTTGCGACTCCTTCTTGGTCAGGAAAAACTGATGGAAATAGTCCTGAATTAGATCAAGAAGGATGAGTACTAAGAGTCAATAGGGAAGACCGATATATCAGCTACCCTGGGCATAGCCTTCTTTGAGGGTCTCAGAAGGATGGTGCTTAGTCTGGCCTTCCTAAGTCTCCTGTTTTCACTCAGAGGATGGCAGCCGTCCCTGATTCTTCATGCCACAGTGAAATGATATTAGGGATAGGGGACAGAATAAAAATAACCTGGATAAGCTGTAAAAATGTTTAAAAGACAATGCTTCCAAGTTTTCAGATAGAGAATCCCAAGTATAAACATCATGAAGTTATTACCTGGGAATTGCCAGGGGAAGATGGCCTTTGATCTTTCTGACTGATGAAGGTTTTCTCAATCAGGACAGAATCAGTGACTCCAGGACATAAAATTTACTGGTTCTGCATTCCTTATTTTATTTGCATTTACACATTCCATTTCATTAAACTACTTTTAAAGAGCTCATCCTTTCCTATTCTTTGTCTCCAGTGATTTTTCTGCCAGTCTACTGTATTAAATCTAAACGTCTATATGTATATAAAAAAGAAGCACATTGTATTGTAATTAGGCTTTCTCTATCTACATTTGAAGCCCAGCTGGACTCAAAACACTTTAAGGGCAATGCTCATGTCTGATGCAGCTTGATCTATTCCACAATGCTTACGATAGTACTTGATGTAAACCTATTGATTATTTCTTTTTTTCAATTATATCACTGCATTTTTATGCCTTTGTTTTATTATCAGCTGAGCTGGGCACTCAGAAGCAAATGACTTTTTGAATTTTTCTGGCTAAGCATTAGGAGGAAATTTGACTAGGTTCCTGTACAATTAAAAAATACATGACTGCAAGCAGTTTTAACAATGTTTAGGTATTTTGGATGCTTAAACAATTTGGAACAATTTATAATTTTTTAAGAAATTGACAGTGTATGGTAGACTGATTGGGAGATTACTCAGTCAATATGAAAGTCGCATTAATTCATTTGAATTATCTCCCCTGATCTCTCACTACCTAGCAGGCTCAGAGACCCATATGCTGGAGTGTTCACTCTATGCCATATAGAAGACAAAGAGAGTGAGAGCTCAGTAATGGGGCTGAATTAGGCACAGAAGGCACAGTGCCTGGGGCCCAAAATTACTTTTAAAGGCTATAAAAATTTAAAATTTTTCTTAAAATTAGAAGAGAAAAATGAACACATATATTGAATAAAGTGTTTTCATATATAATATTATTTATCATTATGCCATGCACACACACATGAAATAAGAGCCCACAATGGTCATCATGTAATAATGTGATCCTGAGTAGTTCACCTACCTTAACAAAGTCCCATCCTTTATGATCTGTATCAGGGGGCACTGGAATGGTGAAACACCAGGGCAAGAAGACAGTAACTCTTAAGATGGCAAGCTGCATGGCAAACACTCATTTGTCCCACTGCCTGAATTCATGTACCCAACTTGGGCCACCGGACCTTTATAGCTGTGCCAGCAACATCCAATGACTCACCCTGCCAGTTTGCCCTTTCTTTGAATCTGTGAATGTCGTCATTGTCCATACCTGCTGAGGGCAGAGTGACCAGCATGCAAGGGTGACAAAAGCAGCCATGGGATTTATTTTTACTCTCAATTCACACCTGATGGTCTTCAGCATCCCAGGCCACAGGTTTGGTTAAGGAAATACAGGTCAGTCTCAGAATATAGGGGGCATCATTTTTAAAATGGAGAAAAAAGCAAGAAACAGGAGGTGTGTGAACAACTCATTATAGGTTTGTCTATCGAATAATTACTTTACCAGTCAGAGACATACAATCTTGCTCCAGAAGCTAAAAAGAGAAAAAAGAATAAAATCAAGGGAAACAAATAATGTCAGCTGTAATAAAGATCCAGATCAGATTATGAAAATCTCCAATATCTATGTAAGAGATCCAGAAAAACACAGAAAGAGGCAGTTAATAGCTATTTGCTGAAGAAAACAAAGCACTGATAATAAGTTATACACACACACATCTATAGATGTATATGTATAGATACATATACATATATATCTCATAGTAAAATATTTCAGCTCATTGCCTTAGAAATCACACAACTGGGCCAGGTGCAATAGCTCACGTCTACAATCCCAGTGCTTTGGAGGCTGAGGTGGGTGGATTACCTGAGGTCAAGAGTTCAGGACCAGCCTGATCAACATGGTGAAACCCTGTCTTTAATAAAAATTGAAGAAATTAGCCAGGCGTGGTGGCAGGCACCTGTAATCCCAGCTACTCGGGAGGCTGAGGCAAGAGAATTGCTTGAATTTTCCTGGTTTCAGTGAGCTGAGATCATGCATTGCACTCCAGCCTGGGTAACAAGAGCAAAACTCTATCTCAAAAGAAAAAAGAGAGAGAGAGAGAGAGAAAAGAAAAGAAAAGAAATCACACTACTCTGGAAATGGATCTTAACTCTGCTACTTAAAAGCTGTTATACTTCAAGCACATTATTTAACAGTATAAAGCCTCTTTCTCTGTAAATTAGGAAAATTAATCAAATTCACATAATATGGTAGCAGAGATTGAACTTGGCTTGGTACACTGTAAGTCACAATTAATAAGACCTGCCTTATAATTATTATTGCATTCACAGAGATACAGAAATTAAGCAGATACAAAGACCTGGGGACATTAGGAGAAATGAATTAAGCCTGCATTTATTGAGCACTTTATGGGTTCCCAGACCTGAACCCCCCTCTCACATAAAGAAGACACAGAGGAGACAGATGGAGTTCCATTTATCCTCCAGGAGTTCGTCCTCTAGAAACCACAAGTCTACCTGCTGCACAAGTTCTCAGAGTACAGGATTTGCCAGGACACTTTTCTTCTCTCTGACTTATCCCTGACAGTTCCTCCAAATAAACCAGATGGCATGAAATGACCCTGCATAGAGTGGAAATCTGGTAGAAAATAAATGGGATAGGAAAGGTTTTATTACTTCTGACTAACCCCACAGCTTCTAGATGCCCCATGATGAAAACAAAGCCAAACAGCGGATTTTAAGAATGGAAACTGTCAGGGCATGGTGGCTTATGCCTGTAATCCTACTACTTTTGGAGGCAGAAGCAGGAGGATTCTTTGAGCCCTGAAATTTGAGACCAGTCTTGGAAACACAGGAAGACTACGTTTCTCCAAAACAGTTTTTTAAAAAATCAACTGGGCCAGGCGCGGTGGCTCATGCCTATAATTCCAGCACTTTCAGAGGCCGAGGCAGGAGGATCACATGAGGTCAGTAGTTCGAGACCAGCCTGGCCAACATAGTGAAATCCAGTCTCTACAGAAAATACAAAAAAATTAGCCAGCCATGGTGGTGCATGCCTGTATTCTCAGCTACTTGGGAGGCTGAGGCAGGAGAATCACTTGAACCCAGGTGATGGAGGTTGCAGTGAGCCGAGATTGTGCCACTGCACTCCAGTGTGGACAACAGAGTGAGACTCCATCTCAAATAAATAAATAAACAAACAAGGAAACTGGGCATGGTCATGCTCACTTGTTGTCCCAGCTACTCAGGAGGCTGAGATGGGAGGATCATTTGAGCTTGGGAAGTCAAGTCTGCACTGATCCATGATCAAGCCACTGCATTCTAGTTTTGACAAAAGGGTAAGATCCTAGCTCCAAGAAAAATACAAAATAAAAATAAAAGAAACAAATTGGAAGATAATGGAATAATTTGTTAAAATGTACAATAATTGAGGGCTTATTATAAAGCAATTTTGTATTTTATACCTTTGGTATAGATTAAAATACAGTGTAAAAATTTTATAGGTTAAAGCAATGAGACTCAAAGAGGTGAAAGAACATGCCGAAGTCACACTATTAATGAGTAGAAAAAATTAATTTCAAATCTAATAACAAAATAATTCATCAACGGAAGTAAACAACATGATATATATGTGGAGGCAGGTCAACAGATAGATGAGAGGTAGATAGACAGATAGACGGCTACTACTCAACAGCAGCAGAGAGCAAATTACTGACACACGCAACAAAACAGACAACATTAAAAACATGTTGAATTAAAGATGCGGGAAACCAAATGGTAGTCCTATATGAGGCTCAAGAACAGGGAAAGCTAATTTATAGAAAGCAATGAGTATAATTGTTGCCTCTGTCGTGATAGAATTGTTGGTAAAGGAGCACAGTGGAAATTTCCCTGGGAATGAAATGTCTATTTCTTGACTGACATCTGGGTAATACAAATATATTCAATTTTGAAATTCACTAAGCTGTATACTTAAGATTCATACATCATACCATTAAACCTCTATGAAAATAAATACGAATTCAGTGAATAAAGAAAATAAAAACATAGATTAATAAGGTACCAAAAGCAGCACCCATTTCACCATAAGGAATATAGGACTGTAATATAAATCATAATGTATGTGGTCAAATGAGCATATAAATAATCATTTTGCTGATGTTATTGTCATGTGTGTGCTATATACCAGAACACAGGTAAACAATGGAACATCAACAAGAAGAATTAATAAAACAAGATATTTGTGATAAACTTGGAAAATAGAGTGTGGTTAATCTGAAAAAGGCAAGATGGATTTAAGACTGCCTATTTCCAAGGTTGTTTACTGTTAGACAAATATGGTATAGAGACGGTTATTCCCGATAATCTCTATCAACTTGGTAAAATATGAGTTTGTTCATTAAAATGTCATGATTATATAGGCCTCTTTAGATTCTCATTTCAAAGATTAATAAACCAGGGTTTAGGAAATATAAAACTCTTTCCATGGAAATGACAAATATATTAATATTTACATTTATGTCTGACTAACTTTCAAGTCAGATTATGTATTAAGTGAGGCATGCTTCTTATCATTACCAGCAGATCTTCATCAATAATATCATCAATATATGTTTAATGTTCTGAATAAATTCAAAAACCTAAGCTCAGTGGAGTCACAATGAAAGAAATGATGTGAAATGCTAATAAAACTTATTCAAAACGCATAGCAGATTTGAAAGAAGAGAAAATTAAAAAATCCCCTGAGTCTCTCACATTTTCTCTGGTGTTCTGAACGTAGGCTTCTTCAGGTTGGTTAAAAATCAGGTTAAATCTCCCTATCCCATTGAAGGAAGGTGACCAGAGAACCTCCCATAGAGCATAGTTCTTCAGTCACTCAGATGTGTTCTTGAGGTTCTATTGTAGAATTGCTGATAAATGAAACCCTCCTGAAATTTCAAAATATTCTGTACACAATAAATATATACAATTTTTATTTGTCAGTTGACAAATTGACCAACAAATTGAAAAAAACAAAGAAATATAAAGAAGCCTTCATATTTACAGGCCCATACATAACACTGTAGGTTCACTAATGACAGTAACGTCAAGTTGCAGTAATACATGTAGCACAGGTTTTAGAACTTAGAAGGAACCCATTATTCATTAAATGAATAAAAGTGTTCAGTAAAAAAAACTCATACCTAGTGATGAAATCAGAAGTGAGTGTGTGAATACTTAAACTAGTGATACACTTGAGCATATAATTCAAATCACTCAACACAGTGCAAGTGATCATTGTAACAAGCTATTGAGCACATACACTGTGTCAAGGATGTACTTTCTTTCTTCATCAACACAACTACTTGCAAAGTAAGTGTTTTATTATACTCATCTTGTAGTTAAGAAAATGAGGTTTTGACTCATTCGATTGTCATTTGGGTGGTCACAATGCTCAAAGTGATATATAGAAGTTATTAACAAAGAGTACTTTATTCTGAAGGCAGAAACTTTGATCACTGGACTAGACTTCCACTTTTCATGAGACTCCTCTTCTCATGGTGACACAGTCCTCTCTAATGCTGCTTCTGGAACTCCCAGTATGTCCCATGCAATCTGATATGGCTGGCACAGATGAGCAGCCACCTGTAAGCCTGACCCAGCACTCAAATACATGAGTGCTGAGTGCTGAAAGCCAGCTTAACTAAGAAGGCAAACGAGTGACTTATTAATGATTCAGCTGCAGATAAGAGAAATAATGTGTTGAAAGTGTAAGTGTTTCTGAAAATATAACATGCATATAAATCACCTGTGGATATTAAAGAAATGCAGATTCTAATTCAACAGGTCTTGGATGGGCCAAGTATTCTAAATTTCTAACAAGATCCTAAGTGATGCCAATGTTGCTGATCCAAATCATACTTTTTAAGTGGTTATGAGGCAGAAGATATTGGCAATGTAAGGAATAAAGACCTGTGAATTTAACTGGAAAAGTTTCATTCTCAGCAAACTGACACAAGAACAGAAAACCAAACACCACATGTTTTCACTCATAGGTGGGTGATGAACAATGAGAACACTTGGGCACAGGGAAGAGAACAACACTCACTGGGCTAGACGTCGGAGTGGAGGGGAGGGAAGGGACAGTGGGTGGGTGAGGAGGAT